ATATATATGATCATCTTAATTAATCAGATCTTTGTTAAATTAAATCTGTAAGGAACAACAAATAGAGCAATAATAATGTAAAAACATTTTTCACCTCTCCAGTAAAAATAGCAGGTCACAAGGGAGTGACAAACATACAAAAGAAGTAGAGGAAAATGACAATAGTAAGGATCAGGAAAGAAAAAGCAGCAGTTCTGTGTTGTAGATCAGGCTCAATTATGAGCGTGACATGAGTCATCCCATTTATAATTCTACTATGCTTGAACGAGATATGTCCCCCCTTTGGGAATGGCCTAAAGACACTACAGTCAGTGGCACTGCCCCGGGGGGTGATCAATCTCTGCTGGTGGAATGTCAAACTGGGTGAGAATATAGGTGGCCGTCATCAGCAGATTGGAACTTTAAATGAATATTTCCTGGTTGGGTTCAAGTAGGCTTATAATTATCAGGACTAGCTTGTATAATAGTTTATTTTGATAATGATTTATAAGACATAGGATTAGATTTAGGCCTAACTTGTCATTTGGAAGACATCGTGGAAAAATCTGGCCCTCATTCAAATAATGAAATGGAAAAAAATGACATTTTTTTGCCATTTTGGCAATTTTTTTCCCCAACTCAACATCATGGCCATTTCAAAACACCTTTCTTTGTGGATTTTACTGAAAAATTAAATGTTGCTTAGGTCTTAAGCCTAAAGGTTCATATATATATACAGTCAAACCTGTGTAAGACGGCCACCCATTGTCAATGAGAAAAGTGGCCGTATAAGACAGGTGGCCGTCTTAGGCAGGACTGATCAAGATGAAGAAAACAAACCCTTCCTTTCTGAGAAAACAAACTCTTCCTTTCTGAGGTCCCAACCGAAGGTAGTTGCATTGTTGTTGTTGTTGTTGTTCTTGCTGGGTTCTCTTTTCTTCTGTCGCTGCTTTTGTGCACGGGTGACAATAAAACGAAATGTGTCAGACAAGGAGGATCAAGTGCTATGGTAAAACAAACACCCGTACTACCACTCGGAGAACAAGCGACGCTTCTGTAACAAGTTCATGTTGACGTCCATTGTTACTTTGTTACAGACTGGGTAAATAGTGACCACTCATCTCACTTGCGATTTGTGTATGGGTTCTGGGCGGGGCTTATGGGTTATGATGGATCACACGCTTACCTCACCAGCAGCTGTAAATTAATTTTGTTACCTATTGGTCAACAGTGGGAGGGGCCTACACAACATGATCAGTTGGAGGGACTACCTAGCAACGACAGGTTTTTAGACGATGGCTCACCCACAACGCCAGGGCCCAATGCACAATTTATGACAAAGCGTAATGGAGTCACTAAGGTGGCCGTCTAAGACAGATGTTTTTGCTTTGTGTGATAGGGGTTGTGTGTTGAAATATGGTGGCCGCGGCCGCGTTGGACAGGTGCCCGTTTTACACAGTTAAATTATATAGAAAAAACGCAAGGGGGGAAATGGAAAGTGTCCGTTTGTACAGGTGGCCGTCTTATAGAGGTGGCCGTCAGGGCAGGTTCGACTGTATATATATATATATATATATATAGATAGATAGATATTTGTTTCAAAACATGCGGCTAAACGTAGAATGACGCATCTGCCTGATTGGCGGCTAATTTTAGTAATGTGATGTCATCACATCCTGGGATACCAACAGACTATTTTTAGAAGGCCTTGGAAATATCAAAGACCGTGTAGTAGAGAATCTTTGGAGATACCGCATGGAACGAGATGTTCGTCAGTGGCTTGACGTATTATCCGTATCGATGTGTTTCGCCCACTAAAATTTCACACTTGCAGCTAACTGCAGCCCCTCAGCCATGCTCTACTGATTGGTTACAAGGTTTCCGGTGTGTTAATTAATTTATAACATTTTGGAATTCCGGTAGTGATGCTTGAAATTGAAACACGGTAAACGCAAAGACAACATATAGCGCGCGGAAATTGCCGCAAAGATGCCAGGAGATTAACACACACCCCCCCCCCCCCTTTCCCTTGGGAGCGATAAACAATGCACAAAAGAGATAAGCAGCAGCAGCATCGGAGCACCACATCATATCACATTACCGGCAGACTCTCTATTCCTGGAAAAACATCGCACCAAAGCGCAGTGCTATCAAAGATTCTCTACACCATCTTTGGTGACAGGCGGTTGGCTATATTTAGATGTAGTCACGTGATTGGAGGGGTATCCCAGTCTGATATCACACAAGATGGCTGCCTTACCTATAAATAGTTGTGTCGTTCTACGTTTAGTCGCACCAAAG